TATTAAATTGTAAACATAAAACTTATCACAATCATTATTTCTGTGAGTTCTTTCTCAGAAATATCTTCTTTCTCTCCCCTTTTAGATTTCTGATAACACAATGTTAGAGCATTTGTTACTGTCTCTGGGGTACTGTAAATTTTTCCATCTATTTTCTCTCTGTAGTTTAGACTGAGTTGTTTCTATCATCCAGTTCACTATTTCTTTCCTCTATTCCTTTCTCTTTCTTTTTTTTTAAAAAATACATTTTTACTGATTTCAGAGAGGAAGGAAGACAGAGAGAGACAGAAAGATCAATGATGAGAGGGAACCATTGATCAGCTGCCTCTTGCATGCCCCTTACTGGGGATTAAGCCTCCAACCCAGGCACGTGCCCTTGACCGGAATCAAACCCAGGACCCTTCATTCTGCAGGCTGATCTCATCCATGGAGTTTTTAATTTCAATTATTATATTTTCCAGTTTTAAAATTTCTATTTGGTTCTTCTTTCTACCTTTTATTTCTTTTTCATGTGTTTCAAGCAAGCTTCTAATTCTTTGGTGAGCACTGTTATAATGGCTGTCTAAAAACAAAATAAATCTTTGTAAGATAATTCTAACATCTGTCATCTTGTTGTTGGCATCTATTTACCTTTTTTTTTTCCATTTAGTTTGAGATCTTCCTGGTTCTTAGATGGGAAGAGTGACTTCTTATTGAAAATTTGACATTTTGAGTACTGTTTAATTGCCACTGGTCTTTTTAAATCTATACTTTATATGGCTTCTTCTGACACTGCTCCCACGGGGAAACGATGAGCACGGAAGAACGTCATTACAGTCAGCTGATAGTGAAAGCAGCATTCATTTTTTTCTGTTTAGCTGTAGAACGATATTCCTTTTTTTAAAAAAAAAATATAGTTTTACTGATTTCAGAAAGAAAGGGAGACAGATAGAAACATCAATGATGAGAGAGAATCATTGATCGGCTGCCTCCTGCACACCCTATTGGGGATCCCAGGCATGTGCCTGGACCGGGAATCGAACCTTGACCTCTTGGCTCATAGGTTGGCGCTCAACCACTGAGCCATGCCAGCTGGGCAGTTGACCGCTTTTCTAAAAGCTTTCTGTCTTGCTATTCAGTGCCTTTCCTGATCCTTTGGCTACAGAATAAGCTTTCCGCTCCCCTGCACCTGTTAACTTTCCTAGATCATCAGTTTCTCTAGCACCCAAATCTGAGATATATGAGGCAAAAAGAAAACCAAGGGAAATCACTGTTGTCTCATTTCTCAGGTCCCAAGGTTTCTAACTGGTCACCTTTCTTTCCTCCACCTTTAAAAGTTGTCTTATAATTGTTTTGTATATAATGTTTACAGTTTTAGTTGTACTTAGCAGGAGGAACAGGTGAAAGTAAGTCTACTCCATCTTTCAAGATGCAGAAGTCTCTGGTTACTATTTTCATGTTCAGTCAGTTCCTAAATTGTGTAAGGAGATTCAGGTTTGTTTTCACCCTTTTGTATAATCCACCATCTTCTTAACACTTTATCATAAAATATTTTCAGCTTTTAGGTAAAATTTCAGGGATGATTTTATTACGTAATGCTTATCTATGATTCCTTTAAAAATAGATTTATAAAGATTATTTCTGCCCAACCGTTGTGGCTCAGTTGAGCGTCCACCTATGGACTAGAACAGTGATGGCAAACCTTTTGAGCTCGGCGTGTCAGCATTTTGAAAAACTCTAACTTAACTCTGGTGTCGTGTCACATATAGAAATTTTTTTATATTTGCAACCATAGTAAAACAAAGACTTACATTTTTGATATTTATTTTATATATTTAAATGCTATTTAACAAAGAAAAACCAACCAAATAAATGAGTTCGCATGTCACCTCTGACACGCGTGTCATAGGTTCGCCATCACTGGAATAGGAGGTCATGGTTCGATTTCCAGTCACGGCACATACCTGGGCTGTGGGTTCGATCCCCAGTAGGGGGTGTGCAGGAGGCAGCTGGCCAATGATTTTCTCTCATTGATATTTCCCTCTCTCTCCCTTCTCTCTTCCTCTCTGAAATCAATAAAAATATATTAAAGAAAAAAATTAAAAAGATTATTTCTTAAATTCTTAGCTTCTGAGGCAAATTAATTTACATGAATAAATAAAATGTTGTTCTCTCATGAGTATGAGGAATTCCTGCCCAGATCAAATTTAAACAATTATTTTTATTATTAACCACAGATACAGAATGTTTGTAACAAGTGCTGCCAAAACATCAATGGAATAACCAGGTTTCTACCATTAACTGAAGTACAGTGTTCCTATGAAACCTTTCCTAAGCTGAAATGGCACAAAGTGAAGCGTATCATCCTCTACTTTCTTGAAAGTTCACATTATGTCACTTTGCTTTTACCAAAGATTTACATTAGTACAATAAAGCAAAGTGATGTATTGGGTACTATTGAAAGTGGAGGGGATACCTGTATTTCATTTAAATGACAACAGTAATTTGCTACTTATAAACAAACACCTCCTATTACTTGTTAAGAGTAAGAGAAATGAACACAAAGGCATTAGAGATAGAACTAGAAATCTAGGATTACTTTCCAACTAGAGGACCGGTGCACGAAGCTCGTGCATGGGGTCGGAGGGTCCCCTCAGCCTGGCCTGCACCCTCTCACAGTCCAGGGGCCCCATGATCAATCGCTCTGCAGAGGGAGGCCCCACCCACCTGCCGCAGTGCCACCAACGGCCAGGTAGCCTGGGCCTCCCTCTTTGGGGCAATCGTGGAGCCCCCCAATTGATCGCCCCGCCAGCTGGTGGCCTGGGCCTTCCTCTGCAGGGTGATCATGGGGCGATGGCTGGGCCCCCGACCAATCGCATCACACCCACCTTGGTTGGCCTGGCGCCAGTGGGTGTCATAGCGTGGTCGTCCAGATAGTCGTTCTGCTGTTCGGCCGTTCAATTTGCATATTATGCTTTATTATAGGTAGCTGACACCTTGTTATCTGACTCCATAGTATGGTACCATATTAAAATGCACACAATTTTCCATGTGGTTTGCAAAATCAACAAAATCCATTGTTAATAATTAATAAGGACATGTTTCATATTTCTTGAAACTCCTATAACATGTTGGCCCTATGGTTTCAAATACAACACCTGTAATAAAGGAGTCCCTTTCTGAAGCAGGTAGGTTTACATGTCTATTATAAGTTGAACAAAGGGATGGAACAGATTTCTCTCTGGATTTGCTGTATGAAGTGAGACATTGCTCTTGTATGTTATCAAGCTGAAATTATTGGCAATAACAGGTAAAGCATTAGTTGGTGCCTATGCAATAGGCATGGGAAATGCAATAAGGACAATCAAGAGCATTTCATCAAGTATAGATAAGTATAATATCTTACCTAAGAAAGAATTCTTCAGTGAATACCAATGCGGTTCAATTACTATAGTAAATTTCTGGGTTCAAGGGTTAATGAGAACTCCAAGTATCATTCTTAATAAATATTTACTCACTGTTTACTATGTCAAAGGCACAGTGCTAAGTGCTGCCTATGACCTCATCCTCTACTATCCTTAGAACAATGAGATTCTTTTTTTTAAAATATATTTTATGGAGTTGTTTTTTTTTTTTACAGAGAGGAAAGGAGAGAGATAGAGAGTTAGAAACATCGATGAGAGAGAAACATCAACCAGCTGCCTCCTGCACACTCCCCACTGGGGATGTGCCCGCAACCAAGGTACATGCCCTTGACCGGAATCGAACCCGGGACCCTTCAGTCCGCAGGCCGACGCTCTATCCACTGAGCCAAACCAGTTTCGGCAACAATGAGATTCTTTAATCATTTGTTTTCTAGAATCCCTTCTGGCAGTTGATTTTAACACACTGGGGATGGATTCTCGTGTTTTCTGTTCTAAGTCTTATGGCAATCATACTTTAAGAAGATATTAGCTGATAAGAACATGTAATAAATAACTTCAAAATGCAATGGGTATTTAATTTTAAAGCATGCCTTTAACATTTATGTAAAACATTTTTTGTACTCATTCAATAGAAACTTATCTGGCCACTGGGTAAAGCTGGTAATAAAACTACTGGTGCTCAATGTGTTAAAAGTCTTACCCAGAAGGTGGAACTATAGCATTATTCTAGGCAAACTACTTATTTTTTAGCCTCATTCCGACTTCTTCTAAAATAGAATGTAGCAACATATACACCGTATAGACTAGAGCAGTGGTTCTCAACCTTCTGGCCTTTTAAATACAGTTCCTCATGTTGTGACCCAACCATAAAATTATTTTCGTTGCTACTTTATAACTGTAATGTTGCTACTGTTATGAATCGTAATGTAAATATCTGATATGCAGGAAGGTCTTAGGCGACCCCTGTGAAAGGGTCGTTCAACCGCCAAAGGGGTCGCGACCCCCAGGTTGAGAACCGCTGGACTAGAGGCTTAGCTGTCTACTCATCTATGTACACTATACCAACACCATATTCAGACACATACAGCATAAAAGAAAATATGTTCAGATAACTTCCAAGAGTTTAAGTTGATTAATGGAAATAATTGAGATACTGCAAATTTTATCTATTAAAGATGGCAGAATTCCCATGCTTTGTATAATATTATACAGCAGTAATGTAACTCTTTACCTATTTAATCAAAAGTGGCTATAAATAAGCTACAAATGTTCAGCGTCTTGGAACATTTCCAAACTTCATTAGTGTCCCTTTTTCTCCCTCTCATGCAACATAAAAAATGATTTTAGGGAAAATGTATACAAAGATGTGTTAAAGCATTGTGGCTTTAAGAGAAGGCTCAGAATATAAGTCAAAAGTCTGATCTAAGATGAATGTTACAAGGCATTTCAAAGGAAAGAAATTTTCCTACTTTATGATATTCAAAGACTATCAGTGATTAAAAAGCTTATGGAAGACATACTAATAAATATTAAAGTATATAAAACAAGTATATTAAGCAAAAAGATAATAAACATTTAAAAGGACCCCTTATTTACCTCTTCTACATTGGAAGCAGTCTTAGCAGAAGTTTCCATGAAGATAAGTCCATGTTCTCGTGCAAAAGCTTCACCTTCTTCTTTTTTTACTTCTCTTCTAGATTCTAAATCACTAAACACAAGAAAGAAAGCACTGTTATTAATGAACACAGGACAAATAGAGGCATCTGCAGAAAATGTACCAAGAGTTTCAAAGTTGTACTGACCATTCTTTCAATTAATTTTTAATACATAATAAGCAACTGAATTATGCTGGGTATTATGAGAGTCAAAGTGTTTAGAAACACTGCTTAGTTTCAAAGAACTAATGGTCAAACAGAAGATTCTGAATTACAGCCCTATAATGCCAAAACTAAGAGAAATCTAAGGGAACATCTAGCCCAACACCCTGCCTTTGAGTATAGTGGATTCCCAAAGAAGGAACCATTTTATTCAAGTAATAATTTGAAAGCAGAACTACACTAGTTTCTTCATCCTTCAGCCAGACTGACTTTCTATGAACGTGATTAAAAATAAGTCACACAATTCTCAGAAGCTAAAGGAAATTGCTTAATAAAATCCAAAGTACTAAGAAAATATATTAATTAGATTATTAATCCATGTTGGCCTAATTCCCAGTAAAGCTGTTAATAGAAAAAGAGAAACAAAAGTCTAAGCTAGAAATCTGGGACAAAAGCATAGTATTCATTTTTATCATACTGGAACTGTATTAGTAAGGCAGAGGGGGAAAGTCAGTCTACTTCAAGTGTGTTCTACTGTAAAAACTTTAAAACTTTACTATTATAAAATATTTTAAGCACATAGAAAAGTATAGAGAATAATATATCCATTTAGCCTTGACACAGTATTTTGATGGATTTATATCAGTTTTTCTGTTGAGAAGTAAAATCAGTAGTTACACAGCTCAACTGCCTCCCATGTGTCTGTCTGTTCCTGTTCTTATTATCTTCTCTCTTACCTCAAAAAGTAACCAGCACTCTATATTTGGCATTTTAATTCTCAGGGTACTTTTATATTTATACTCATGTAAAGAAGGATTTTTTGTTTGTTTTTGTTTTTATATATTTTTTAAAAATTTAGATGCAGCTATCATTCTATAACTTGTTAATTTTGGTCAATATTATGTTTTTCAGATTTATATACATAATGTATGTAGGTCTAGTTTCTTAATTTTTTACTGTTGTATTATATATATTCTACTGAATGCATGCAACAATTCATTTTTAATTCTCCACTGACATAGTTATTTAAATTTCATTTAATTCACTTGACAATCAGGGGACTGAGGCACAAAAGGGGTTAAGTAAAACATCCAAGCTCACACTCTAGAAGGAGCTAGTAGAGTGATTGCATCCAGACCCCTGCGCTATATTTATATTACATCATTAGAACAATTTTTAATGATTACCTTTTCTGATAACAAATTATACTGAAGAACTTTTGTCAAATAAGGAAAAATACAAAGAAAGAAAATAGCCATAATTTTACTTTCCCCAAGTAACTAACATCTTGGTGAATACAATTCCATATAACTCATTTTGGTTTTCCCTACCAGAATATACTAGTATTCACTATTCATTGTAATTTGACTTTTTCTCATTGAATACATCGTGGATCATTTTCCCATGTCATTTCTGCAGTCTTTTACAATATTATTTTTACCAAGTACACAGTAAAGATTGGCAGTATATTTTATGCAAATTTACATTGCACAAGAATAATACAAACAAAACAAAGATGTTAAAGTCTCATTCACCTAATGTTAAGCAATGTCAGTGTTTCAACTTTAAAAAAATTCAGGAGAAAATTCATAACCTCAAAGCTGGCTGGCTGAACTGGCTGGCTGGGTAAGCTGTCCATCATGCTTACAAAGTTGCCATTATCAGTCACTGTCGTTTCTGTGATTGCAACTTCTGTGAGTGATTCTGGTGACTCTTTTGTAACCTTTACCAGTTGTTACCCTTTAGAAATACTTCATGATTTATTAAATGCCATCTAAGCATTCATTCAGTATAACAAGTGCTGATAAAACACTCCTAAAAATCAGAAATAGAAGAAGGCAATGTGATGACGGAAGCAGAGAGGGAAGTGATGCAGCGCTAAGCCAAGGAATGTAGGCAGCCCTTAGAACCTGAGACAACAAATGGATTTCCCCCTAGTCTCCAGAGAGAAACAGTTTTTTTAACATCTTGATTTTAGCCCCATAAAATTCATTTCAGACTTCTGCCCACAACTGTCAGATTATAAACTTGTGTTGTTTTAAGCAACACATACACACACCTGAAATGCTGGAAGGTGTGATATCCTATATAATAAAAGGGTAATATGCAAATTGACCCTAACAGCAGAACGACCAGAACAACTGCTGGACCAGTTACTATGAGGACCAGTCAATATATATAATACAACACTGATCACCTCTTGGTCCCTTTTCCTGGCTGGCAGGCTCCGATCACCTGATCGCCACCCATGGTGGGGGCGGGGCTGGCGAGTGCGTGGGAACAGCTAACCTCTCGGTCCCTTTCCCCAGTCGTCAGGCACCAATCACCCGATGCCCAATGGGGCCGGCTGCGGGCAGCTGGGGAAGATGGCCCTGATCACAGGCCAGGCCTAGGGACTGTACCCGCACACGAATTTCATGCTCCAGGCCTCTAGCAAGATACTATAAAGATAACAGCAAGCATAAAAGTGACTGTACTATAAAATATTAATGGTAAGATGAGAACTTAAAAAACAGGCAAATTAAGTTTGCAAATATTATAGCATTAAGTAGGCAAGGATAATTTATCCAACTATAATCTGAGGGCCTCCTGTGAGTCAAGACTCTTCCTGGATCCCAGAACAAATTACTCAACAAAATAGACAAAAATCCAACACCCTCCCCCCTCCCCCAGACTCATGGAGCTTACACTCTAGTACAGTGGTTGCCAGCCTACAGTGGTTGGTAACCACTGCTCTAGTAGGAATTAAAAACTTGGGGGTGGGGAAGAAGTGATGGGGGCAGGGATACATGCTTCTGAATTCAGCCCATTTATCTTACAATCATTCTTAAGGGATAATTGGCTTTGAATTACACGAAATCTTTAAGAAAATACCTCTCCCTTAGTACCCTTTCCCCCATTTTATACATATGCCATGTTTTGTTGAAACAATCTCTTATTATGGGGATATTTAAAGTTACACCCAGTTTTCCACTACCAGTATCTGATTATGTTTTGAAATGTTATCTTAGCAAAGAGGGTTAAGAACCTGGACGTTTGAAGGATTATTCAAAGAGGAAGCAACATTTTACTATTCATGGTCTTCTTCTGTTTTATCATTCTACTCTGGTCACTTCCTCAGTTTTCCAGGCTTAAAATCATATTGTCTTTGACTTTTCATCCCCATTAGTCCCATTTAAATAGCTTTCATTACTTAAATCTTTCTTTCCTAAATCATTCTCTTACTATGCCCTCTTTTTGTTTAAGGTTTGTATGCTAATCCTTTAGCTATTAAAAACTTCCATCTTTGTAGATTTTACTTTCTATTTCTTGTATAACCAATTTAAAATGCCACAGTAAGAAAAATCAGTGTTATCTGTCACTCTGACTAGGTCACTGCCCTTCTCAAATCTCTTCATTGGCTCCCTAGTGCTTAATGCATCTAATTCAAAAATTGCTTATTCCCTGTTTCCATGTCTACCCCAATTCATCTCATCTAATAATAATCACCTCATTTATCTCTGCTCATTCCCATTCACTCTTTGCATGTCATACATTCTTTTTTCCTTTCTTCTAGCTTCTTCCTTAAAATGACTTTCCACAGCTACTATATCCCTAATTATATGGGCCACCCATCCATAGTCATTAGAAACACCTATTGTATATACTATAAGCTCATCATGGGCAGCAACCAAACTTAAGCCACCCATCATGTTTCAGATGCAAGGAAAACACTGGAGATAAATATATAAAAATTCCCTTTCTTCTCCAATATTCCGAATATTATTTCATACATCACCATAGAATGACAGTATAAATACTTCCATATTACAAAGATTAAAACTTCCTTCCAATAATCTTAATCTTAAATGGTTTAGTGAGGCGATTTAAATGAGGAAAGGATAAGCAAGAAAGCCCTTGAGTGAAAGCCAAGATAATACATACATCTAGTTACAATATAAAAAATTAGCCTTTTACAATGGAAGTATTGCTTAAGTATATTGCTTAAGTAAATATTTTAACAGCAAACCTAGATTTCTATAAAACAATACTTTCTACAATCAAATCTATACAATATCCTTTATTTGTTATCTTTCTTTTTAACAGCACAATATAAAAAAAACTGTACATTTAATATAGTTTGACATATGTATACCTGTGAAGCCATCAGCTTCCCCAATGTTTCCTCATACCCCATTGTAATATATCCTCTCTTCCACCTGTACCCTAAGCAACTAATGATCTGCTTTCTGCCACTATAGATTAGTCCGCATTTTCTAGGTTATATAAATAGGCTCACACACTAGGTCTTCTTTTTTGTCTGTTTTTCACTCAGCATAATCACGTTGAGATTCATCTACTTTGTTGTACATACCAATAGCCCATTCTTCATTACTACATGGTATTCATTATATGGCTTTATTCATTCACCAGTTAATTAAAAATGTAGGTTGTTTCCAGTTTTGGGCTGCTACAAATAAAGCTGCTATGAAAACTGGAGTATAATTTTTTTTGTGTGGACATATGAAATGTGTATATGGGGTAAAAACCTAGGAGTGAAATGGCTAGTTGGTATGGCAGATGCATGTTTACTTTGTAAGGGAACTACCAAATTGTTTTAAAAGTTGTATCACTTTATACTCCCACCAGCTGTATATGAGTTGCAGTGCCTTTACATCTTTGCTAACACTTACTATGTCAATCTTTTTAATTTTAGCCATTTCAGTGAGTGTGCAATAGTGTATCATTGAGGTTTTGATCTGCATTTCCCTCATGATTAGTAGTGTTAAATATTTTTCATGTGCTTACTTGCCTTATGTATGTCTTCTTTGGTGAAGTGCTAGTTCAGATCTTTTTAAAAACTGGGTTGTCTTTTTATTAATGAACTAGTGGCCTGGTGCACAAAATTTGTGCATGGGGGTGGGGGGTTCACTCAGCCCAGCCTGCACCCTCTCCAATTGGGAACCCCTTGAAGGATGTCCGACTGCCGATTTAGGCCCTAACTGCCTCTGCCTGCCTGATCACTCCTAACTGCCCTCCCCTGCCAGCCTGATCTCGCCCCCAACTGCCCTCCCCTGCTGGCCTGATCTCGCCGCCAACTGGCCTCTCTGCCTCGGCCCCCCACCACCGTGGCTTTGTCCGGAAGGAAGTTGGACGTCTAGAAGATGGCCGGTCGAACTGGTCTAATTAGCATATTACCCTTTTATTAGTATAGATAGATTATATAGGATAGGATTGCTTAAATGGAGGGGAAAAGCATTTTCCCACA